TGGCGATGGAGGATGAATTTATTTTTATGTTGTAAATGACCAGATGCAGCCATTTTGTAACGCCTTCTGGTCACTATATAATCGGTGGCAATGAAGAGGCGGAAAAAATTACGAAGAAAGAATTATTGTCTTCTTGAGAAACCCGAGTGCTATTAGAGCCATTTGCACTCTTATAATTCAGAACATCGTGCCTTGTCAAGGAAGGCTAAACCAACAATTGGCAACAATGACAGTGCTCAAATGTTAAATAACACTTAAAACATAGATAATTATAAACATAAACTTAGGTAATTAACTTTACCACTGGCTCGAGTTAACAGCAAGGTGGGAAATGATAAGGTATGATTCCTGGCCAATTACTATCACATCTTGTGCAATTGCGTCCCTGTCTTCGAACAAACCAATAGCAAGAACACCATGGAAAGCTCGTACACAAACTATGAACTTGGTCAGACGAAGCATGTATTTACAATACTTTGCTAAGTAAAGGTGTCGTAATTGTTACTACAGAAAAAACAAATATGCGAAATTGGCACAAAATCCCGAATAGCTCGGCCCAGCGAAGCACTGCGCCGTCGCCTCTCGTGCTTCTCTTCGACCGACGCACCTTGCTTCGAGATGCGTGGCTCCAGAGTACACACTTTTTAGGACCCGCCATCACAGTTTCGGTGGTGACAGTGTAGAGCAATTGTGAACAAAAGAGATGTGGGGACGTCTAGCAGAGTCCCACACGTATACTTTGTCGATCTTTTTCAAGTATAGACTCCCCTAACTTGGTGGGTACCTCTTTAGAGGTCTCTGCAGAGTTGGTGAAGTCTACACCAACTCTACACTGCAGAGTTGGTGTAAAGTTCCGGGCCCTCATTGATCCGGGCCCTCATTGATTGAAGCTGGCGCCCTCGGTCTGTACAAACTACAAAGGCCAGGCTATGCTAAGAGTTCTCTCACCATATCACTGCCGGTGAGCTTGACTTAACTACCACGCATGCGCAGCTTGCCCCGCTGTGTTTTTTTGCGTCCATGCTTGTGAAAAGCCTTCACATGCTACCTGCCCCGTCTTTAAAGGGTGCTATGCGCACTGGTCCATTATATAGCGTGGCTTTGCGTGACTTCACCGCAGCTGTGCTTTTTGCATCTCATAGGTTTTACCTACCATGTAACATAATATACGGCTGTATTGATTCTTGAGTGCGAGCTGTGCCCGGCCTTTGCAGGGCAACAACGTGGTCAGTCTTTTTCCAACACCAATACCATCTTTGTCGATTACAAATAGCTTCACCGTTAAAAAAGAGCAACAATATCATGAAACAGAGGAAGGCTGAACATACTTGATATACGAGAGAAGTTCTACCTATTGTGTAAAAGCTTAAGCAAAGGCAACACTACTGTGTTTTTTCCTCAATTCAAAAAATTGATGGTATTTTTATGTCATAATAAAGATGACATTGACTCTGCATTTCACGTATTTTTCAACAAATATTCAAGCTTTGTGTATTCTTCGCCCACGCAGCTCTCTCTTATTTCTAGATAATGTTGCCCAGAGTCTGCATGGAATTAACACAGCGTGATCTGCGAAGACACTAGGCATGACACTTGGAGCGCACATGTCCCGGAATGACCATGATAGCCACCTTTGTTCGAAAAGGTGAATGGATTTAGGTCTCCGTAATCACTGACAAAATACATTATTCTATGAAACTAACGCACCACATGTGTCGCGATCTTTTCCATTCATGCCTTATTTGTTGCTTACGCATATGGGGTAACACCAACACACAGACCATTCAATTGATCTTACTGCATGAAAAGAATGCAATCCGTAAGGTATCAAATGGATCTTCTTCTGAACATACAGAAGAGGCTTTCACGCAAAAGAGAACGATAACAGGATGCGAGGAGTTTTCCAAGCAATACAGAGCTACGAAAAACACTATGGTTGATATAGTAGATTTAGTTCTAAACCACGCAGATATACGCCTTCGTGAAAATAAAAGTTTATATCCATATCGCCTTGAGGGGCTGTGGCCAATTCCTTTTACGCGCACTATATATGGACAACAACGCTTTTGTCATCCACAGTACTTCCTATTAAAAGGGCTATTCACAGGGCTCTCAAATTACAAAATAGAAACGAGCGCAATATTCTTTCCCAATATTTGTTGTCTTTCTTGTGCTATGGCGCAGACAGTAGTTCACGTGACGTCTATAGCGTACATGCGCTTGATTGGTCCACGTAACTGAAATACTGAATGTGATTTCTCTGCTGCACCGCTTTGTCATACAGCCGGCCATCCGTCTTTCCTTGTCTCGTACGACTATCGAGTACAATTAACTGATCCACTTCATTGTGTATGTATAACAGCGCAAGCGGTGATAGCGTGTGGTCGAGAAGTGCAAAAACTTGACAGTTTCTAGCGTCCAGTGCCGACATTCTTCACGCGCTTGTAAGAGCTGAGGGGTAAGAGGATGCAATGCTTGTGCGAAGGGTCGTGAAGGAGAGCAGAACACTACTCCCTCGTCATTAAACGCGGGTGGCGAGGGGTCATTTATATTTGTTTCCCTTCAACGAAAAACTATCGATGTATTACAGTTACTACAAAACGAGACTGAAATGTCGAAATTGTTTTTGTATCGGTTCATTATTCTCTTAAAGCCTCGCCGTAGTGCTCTAGTGGCTAAGGTGCTCGGCTGCTGACCAGCAGCGGGATCGAATCCCGGCTGCGGTGGCTGCATTTCCGATGGAGGCGGAAATGTTGTAGGCCCGTGTACTCAGATTTAAGTGCACGTTAAAGAACCCCAGGAGGTCGAAATTTCCGGAGCCTTTCACTATGGCGTCTCTCATAATAATATGGTGCTTTTTGGACGTTCAACCCCACATACCAATCAATATATATTGTTGTAACTTGATGGCCGCAATTGATAATAGTTTCTATCTCCTTAAGACGACACACAGCGTTCAAAACACATTTGGCTCTGTATGTCACTGGGTGTGTTCATACAACACTGTGTACCTCCGGTGCGGTTTTTTTTTGTGCCATTTTACACACCGTATTTTTTTAATTCCTGAGAACTTGACGCAGAATGCTCAATTAGTTGCTTTTTTTTCGCCTTACAACAGCCATTTCACCACCGGGCCACGGAAGCGACCACATGAAAGTTCGCATTTCCATGCCGTCCACCTCGATACGGCACATAGTGTATGAAGGTAAATATAGATTTTTTACCTGAGCATAGCGCCTCTTGTAGTGCCGTGTGCACACTGTGGCGTGCTGTGATACTGACGTCACACGGGAAAACACGTAGATATATTTTCCTCTCAAATCGAGTGATCGCAACCTAACAAAAAGTGGCAAACAAGCTTCACTCATTAGGCGCTGACTTGTCCACTTTCGATTTCAGCGCTTTCGATTAATTGAAACACAGAGAAAGATTTGCAAACACCAAAAGTAATAGATGTTAAAATAGGGTACGTATTATGTAGGTCCCTCTTCATCTCCGGTGTATCCCTTTAACAGTACACTGTCTTAGAGAAGTGGTTAGTGACGTGTTTGCAAAAGTGCTAGCTTGCATACTTAACCTACACAAATTACACGAACAGTGTGTATTGCCATGGTCACAAGATTTCCTGTAAAGCGTACAATCCAAGATCTCAGATGAATAAACACACTGGAATGTGTAAAGAGCCATCACAAAATAATGTATCAGAAAAAAAACATTTATTGCAAATAATAAATTGGCAGATCCCACGTACAGTAGGCATCGATTATATGCGAATAACGAATGAGAAAGGTTGATATGCAACTTTAAATTGGCAGAATGTTACGAGGTAGAGGTAGGCCCGCCGCGGTGGTCTAGTGGCTAAGGTACTTGGCTGCTGACTCGTAGGTCACGGGATTGAATCCCGGCTGCGGCGGCTGCATTTCTGATGGAGGCGGAAATGTTGTAGGCCCGTGTGCTCGGATGTTGGCGCACGTAAAGAACCCCAGGTGGTCAAAATTTCTGGAGCCCTCCACAACGGCGTCTCTCATAATAATATGGTGGTTTTTGGACGTTAAACCTCTCTTATAAATCAATTACCATCTTATCAGAAAGACTGAAATCTTTTTATAGAACCTTGCTTCTACCTCGTTGTTTTACTGTTACATCAACTCTATCATTGTTGTGTATTGATTTCATAGATTTTTGTTCTTAACGTATTACAACTTGATTTTTACGTTAAATAATATGCAGTTATTATGCTAGGTATTACTTCATGGACCAATACTACATAAAATACTCTTCGCCTTTGCACTGAAACCTACTGCTTGTAAGAAGAACGAGATATTTGTGAGGCCACGCCACCGCGGTAGTCTAGTGGCTAAAGTACTCAGCTGCTGACCCGCAGGTCACGGGATCGAATCCCGGCTGCGGTAGCTGCATTTGTGGTAGAGGCCAAAATGTTGTAGGGCCGTGTGCTCAGTTTAGGGTGCACGTTAAAGAACCCCAGGTAATCGAAATTTCCGTAGCCCTTCATTTCGGCGTCTCTCATAATCATATGTACTAGATTGCTGACCCGCAGGTCACGGGATTGAATCCCGGTGGCGGCGTCTGCAATTCCGGTAAAGGCAGAAATGTTATAGGTCCATGGGCTCAGATTTGAATGCACGTTAAAGAACCCCAGGTGGCCGAAATGTCCGAAGCCCTCCGCTACGGCGTCTGTCAGAATCATATGGTGGTTCTGGGACGTTACACCCGAAAAATCAATTATTATCATATAGAGGTTTCGCGACGTTAAACCCCACGTATCAATAAGATTTTTGAGGCCAACAAACTGTTAGCTTTTTCTCTAGTTTACGCTTCTTCCCATCGTGTGATAACAAAAGATGCTGAAAATAAAACAGTGTCTGACTAATTGGTTGTTCGCGCCGTTGTTCGCTCGCTTCACTACTACTGTCCATTCAAGTCAATGCACTTTGTGATAAGAAGTAAGCCGAGATCATGGGTAGACACTGCATACTCACGGAATGCCACTTCTATGGGCAGCAAAACGAGCACGGTGAGCCAGTTGAAGATGTCGTGCACGGTGGCCGCTGCAAAGCCTCGGCGGAACTCGTCTCGTCGCTTGATGTGCATCAGCGAGATCATGGTGTTGGTCACCGAGGTGCCCACATTGGCACCCATTATGATGGGCACCGCACTGCGCACCGTCAAAACTGCGCAATGTCGCAGTAGCGACCGCTGTGTAAGTTCGCTCGGCCACATAAAGGAGCGCTTGAAAGCCTGAAAGCGCTCATACGAGAGCCCGAAAAAGCCCATTTCGCAGTTATTTTAGTGCTGGCGTCACTGTCATCACATTCTCCGAAAAATCGGCGTGGTTCATGAGCTGAAAATCACAACATACGCAAATAGGTAAAATTCTTGATCTGGCCGGAAGTTCTGCGTGGCAACTAGTGCGTTCCAAGCACTTTCCAAGCATTAGTTCTACCTCTGAGACACTGCGAGGCTGACGAGTTCGAAAATGACAATAAAATGCATACAAGTGTCGCGTAGTGTCAGCGTAGTAACCTTAACACTTTTATTCCATGGTAGAAGCATCACATCTCACCGGCTGTTACAAGATATGAAAGGAAAACTAGCTGTTTCTTTAAAGGCCGGACCATAACAAAGCGTTCATGCAAATAACCGTCAAGAGGATCACCATCAACAAAGTGCATTGCCTCACAGACGCGTCGTAAACTCTTCGAACAATTAAAAACGTGCTAAATAGTTTAACGTCGTTGTTTTGTGCTACGTAAAGAAAGACGAACACATGAGAAAACACACGTCAGGTGCTATCAACTACTTGTTTATTGCAATGGTTGCAACAAAACTATAATAATAGCGCACTGATGCACCAACGCACCTAGTGTATACCAAGGCGACATCACTTATGAAGCTAAGGACATGTGACACCAAGAATCATACTATCTCCGCTAAAGGGAACCATGTGTAGATACGAAGCAACGGGTACTAGCGTTTACACTGTCGGCAGCGTCAACGCTGACTCTAATCACGACGTTGCGCAGTAGGGAAACCTGGAGAAGCGTAAAGCATGCAGTGAGAGAACGGTGTTTCCAACTGCAACATGTCGATCGCTGCTAGTGGGCAATTAGAGACAGAAGACTTCCGATTGGACATAGAGACCTGCAGTACGCTTTTAGTTAACACACAATCTGCGAATTTTTATTGTTAAACAGTGCACCGAACCGGCACTACCTTGTAGGTCAAGATCCTGTCCCTCTATATAAGAGGAAGCCAGTGAACCGCTTCGCAGCGCAAGCAGTCGGTTTTATATGCGAAGCATTTCTTAGTGAACTTCTGCGACTTTGCGCGTATCTATCTATCTATCTATCTATCTATCTATCTATCTATCTATCTATCTATCTATCTATCTATCTATCTATCTATCTATCTATCTATCTATCTATCTATCTATCTATTCTATCTATCTAATCTATCTATCTAATCTATCTATCTATCTATCTATCCGTCTAAGACCTTTAAATCTCCTGGCCTGTTCAATAAGGGTATCGATACCAAACTTGGTATGGCTTAATATGACTGTGTAACGACCATACTTGACTAGTCATAACATGAAAATCATGATATAAATATCATGAATGTCGTAATTACCATTTCATGGTCCTGCAGCTCTTGCGGTAGTTTTGTTCACAAGGCACGTTGCAAAACTGGTATGGTGTGACATGATAGCATGGCTAACACAAGCGATAGGCCCTAACATGAAAATCATGACATGCGTGTCATGTAACAACGTGACTACATGCCATGCTCATGATGCGCTGGCGGCCGTTTCGCTAGCCTCATTTATACAAAATTTGGTATTACGGGACGTGAATGAATGACGAAGGTATGATTATGGTGCAAGCAGGACAAACAAGAGATGCGTGTCATGTAAGAACATGACTACATGCTACGCTCATGATGCGCTCGCGGTCGTTTCACTAGCTTCTCATGTACCAAACTCGGTATTACGTGACGTGAACGGACGCCATAGGTATATTACAAATACAAACATAACCACGACATACGTGTCATGTAACAACATGACTACATGCCACACTCATGATGCGCTCGCGGCCGTTTCGATAGCTTTATATATGCCAAACTTGGTATTACGTGACGTCAATGAATGACGAAGGCATGTGACTGCTGTAAACATAAAATCACAAAATGCGTGTCATGTGCGAGCCTTGCTACATGCCACAGTCAAGTTGCCAATATATTTCAACATGACGCGGTGCGCGTGCTCACCGGCATTCATTCCATCGGGTCATGCCGGTATGGCCACGCCAGGCACCGGTCCTGCCATATGCTCGAAGGCGCGTGCCGCGCTGCGTTGCTTTCACGCATGCACGTTTCAGCGCGTTCACCGTCCCTCCGTCACGAAAAGGGGGAGACGCAGTGTTGTCTGGGTAACGCATCAGCGCGAAATGTGACACGGAGCATTTCGCGGTGGTTGCCGTCGGGCTGCGCCGACGGATGCTGGTCGCGCCTGGTGTCAGACTATAGATTGCTCGCGTTATGGCAACGTAGCGTCGCTGTGCCCAGCATGCGCGCGCGTCTATAATGGGCTCTTCATGATGCGCTCGCGGCCATTTTGCTAGCTCCACGTATACCAAATTTGGTATTACGTGACGTCAATGGATTTCGAGAGTATATGACTGGTGCAAACATTTTTAATAAAGTTTTTTTTGATCCCTCCGTCCGTTATTCGTGCTTTGCATATTACCGATTTCCACTGTACGTGGGATCTGCCTTTTTTTTTTTCAATCAACAAACTCGCTAGGAGGCACTGCTTGCGGAAGCGTTCACAGAAGAAAGATGGTGGGAGCGTAGGAGAAGAGGGGCAGGCAACGCGCATGCGCGTTGGGGATGTAAATTCTGCTGAGAGTGATGCCTAGAGGAGAGGGAGGGAAGAGCTAGTGTAGGCTACAGGCACTGCCTGCGCTTGCGCTGCGGGGGGAGAGAGGGGCAGAACGTACGACCGGAGAGGGAGGGGTAGAGGCGCGCATGTGCTGTAAGGGCGCTCACACCGGACACCTGACCGAGGTGTCTGGTGTGAGCTTCTAAAAAAAGCTGATCTCGCTCTTGTAGAGGCACACAGACGTCTCGCGAGCACAATCAGCTCTATTGAATTTGAAAAGTACACCTCTCAGTGTTCGTGGGGTGGTTTTATCGGTTTCACTCTACATTTCATTGCAACTTTTGCAATGCAATGTTGTTAGTAGCATACGTCTTCTCCTTTCCCATGTGTTCGCTTTCTTAGCGTGAAAATCGCCATGTATATATGCTCCATTAAGTTCTTGTTATGCTATATTATTACTTAGTACGCCCTGCGCAACGACACTTCAAGTAGCATGTTTATGTAACAACGCACACAAGGACCTGTTCACAATTCTCTATTTTTCATGAGTTAAGTTCTGGTGGAGATAAAAATTGAATAATGCTTTTGAAATGATATTTCAAAAAAATGACTTCGTGATGAAAATATAGTCAAACTTCGTCACAAAAAGAACATTCCCGCTAATCTTGCAGCTGCAGAGCGTTAAGTGCATCCACCAAAACACTATGCTTGTCTGGAGTTCAACACTCATTGCCAATGAAAAAACAAGTGACGCGCCATTTTACGAGTGTTCGTATCATTGTTCATATCCCTCCAGTGTTGTATCTAGCTTGTCATGTCGCCTGTCAAGTTTAGTGCGCAGGGTTGAACGCCTCAACCGAAAACAGGCCACAATAGATTGCATTGCGGAGAGCTCCGGATAATTTAAACCACCTTTTCGGGAGCATTACCTCGCAACGAACACAGACGTCTAGCATTACGCATTTATGAAAATGCGACAGCCACAGGCAAACTCTCCGCCCTCTTTTTATGGGTCACAAGCTGAACCCTATGATGATTTAACCACGGCAGTGACTGCAGCCACCACTCTTAAAAGTTTGCCGGCGAATTTTGGGGAGAAATATTTTACCATTACTGGCAAACATGCCTTTTTAGTTTACGAACATTCAGATTCATTTAGCTTACTCATAATTTTACACTAGCTCTAAGCACCACTGAACAAATCGGTGTTTGGAGGCAGCAGCGTGGCTTCTTTCTGGTCATCGTTTTCCTCACTACAGGAGTTTTCCCACTTGGCACTCTTCAGCTGAACACTAATTCCCATCGCCCAATACAGAGCCCATTGAATGAGACAAAATGAATTCACTTAACTTGACAGCAGTGCAGCACGGCAAGAAAGAAACAATGTGTTCTTATAAGGCAATGCATAATATACATTAGTAATCATAATTTTTATTTTTTGTATAGAGACGAACGAAGCGTTTGCACCCGAGTACATGTTAACTGCCCTGTTGGTGTCTGCTAGTTCGAGAAGATGACGGTGAAAATAAAGTAAAAACATATTACGACTATTTTTACTTTAATTACTTTAATTGGCTGTTTCTGGGCCCTTTGTGACCGGACCAGAGAAGAAGACGGCCATGGTGCTTCTGTCGACTGTCCTCTCACATGAGTTTCTCTCACACTCGTGAATAACTGTTCGAAATCGATAACGATGCTTCGCTCGGATATCCATTGAATGACTATGAACACATAGGGTAATCAAGAATGAACAATTCTCATGTTGCCAGGGTAGAAAGTACGTACGGTTGGACCCAACCATGGATACGGTGATTGAGGTGGACGAGGAGGAGCTCTGCACCATGACCGTGACGAGCACGCCGATCATGAGGGCCACCACGGGGTTGCGTAACACGCTGCTGTTGGTGAATACACGGCCTGCCGCGCGACCGCTGATCAGCTTGAAGGCGGCGCTAAGCACGTCCAGGGATACGAGGAAAGTCAGGATGGCCAGCACCAGAAACACCACGTGCACTAACGCACCCGTGGCCGAGTGAACCGAATTGTCGGCCCCTGCGATCGCAGTGGTTCGTGGTTACGCAATGCAAGTGAGCACTGGTGTGATTCAACGCTTCTGGCACGCAGCGCTACACTTCTTCACAAAACGGCTCACCGAACATAACTACCCTTCATGGCCTGTGCTTGAAGCAATTTCAAGGTGAGAACCCGTTGTAGAATTGGTAACGGCTACGCAGAATGCTTAGGTTTAGTTAAAGTTCGGACGTTGTTTGTGAGATATTTTTTTATCCAAGGTGGCTTTTCACCGATCGACAACGCCACTGTGATAAAATCTGTGCAATATGAGCTACATAACGCTGCACTTCAATATGCCCTCATCTTACGCTAACTGCTTTGTCTTGTCAAAGCGAGGCGAAGAAAACGTACATTACAAAGTCAAATCTTCGCTGATCGCCCAATTTAAACCTCCTCGGAGGACATTACTGTAAAGCCCACGGGACGGCTCTATGCTGTCCCATAATAGAGTACCAAGTACTCGAAAGCGTTATTCACTTTTTTTAAACATGAAATCAACTTGCCAATGAAAGAAAATTCCCCTTCATATTTCGCTGAACGGCAGTCAGTAAAAAGCGATGTCGGTACGCAAATCAACATGTCGCTGATTTAATAGTGAATGGAAAAAAAACTAGGAACATTAATGCATAGTATAGTAAAAATAACATACAATTTTTAGAGCATTAACATAATTACACTGGTACTACAATTTACATCAGTTTTTACCTCAACAGTTTCAAGGGTCATTATAGGCTGTAGATGGATATATGAGGAAAATTATATCAGGAAGGTTATCCATATATTTTGTCTAACAAGGAAAACGAGCACGGAAGTTCACACTTTCCTTTAGTCATTTGAGTCATTTCTAACTATCCAATTCAGTAAATAATTAATGGGAAAGAGTGGAATATTCCACTGTTTCCCATTAATTTCACTTAACACAAAACTTGAAATGGCCCATGACACATGGAATTGAATGGCGCATCAGTAATATGCGTAAGCAATTTTATCCAGCGTTTGCGTGAAGTGAAAATAATGGAAATGAGCACCGTAATTTGCTCACAGTGACGAAGTTACAAAGTTCCGAAAGATGACTGTTTTATTTGAAATGCTAGATTAACAAAATTGGTTTATCCCACGTACAGTGGGAATCGATGATATTCGAAGCATGAATGAGAAATGTTGATATGTGACTTTAAAATCGGCACAACGTTACGAGGTGGAGATAAACTATGCCGCACATGACTTCCGTGTCATGTTTGGATGTAATATCGTAGTTTGATGAGTCGTTTACCTTCGTGATCCATTCACTTCACGTGATACCAAATTTAGTATACGTGGAGCTAGTGAAACGGCTGTGAGCATGCTATGAGCGTGGTATGTGGTCATGTTCTTACATGACACATGTGTCAGAGTTACGATGTTTGCACCAGTCATATATTTCGTCATTCATTGAAGTCATATAACACAAAACTTGGTATATGTTGAGCAAGAAAACGGCCGCGATTGCATTATGAAGGGCTCATTAGTGGCACCCGACAGTCGACCAGAGGGCACGACGAAGCTTTTTGGATTACCTCAGCATTTTTGGTATACACCGACCGTCGTGGATACTAAGAAAATGAAACGCTTGCCAAACACAGTGACACGCTGAAATGTCAGTGCACTTTTTGTCACGTTTTCAAATAACGCTTCTTTGGAGCTTACATAATCACCCGTGACCCCCCTGCTCACAAACAAAAAACAAAATGACATGCACGTTCAAGTGCAACTTTGCTGCGTCTACTCGCTAGGCTACGCATTGCAAAACTCGGTTTTGCTGCGCCTAGTTGCTAGGCTGTGTGTTCTGGCGCTACCATCAGATCTCGTAAACTGCATTGCCGCGTGCCTATACTTCAATGTACCGTTGACGCGCGCGCACGCTGGGCACTGCGACTCTACGTTAGCAGAACGCGAGTACTACATAGCCTGACACCAAGTGCGACCAGCGTCCGTCAGTGCCGCCCGACGGACGCTGGTCTGTGCTACATGCCGGATTTCTCGCCGATTCGTTACCCATACATGACTGCGTCTCCCTCTTTTTGTGACGAAGGGACGCCGGACGCACTGAAACGCGCATGTGTCAAAGCAACGCAGCGCGGCGTGCTCCTGCGAGTACATGGCAGCATAGAGTTTCCTAAAATAACTAGAGGGGACTCTGTCGCTGCGATAGTTCAGCGACCATTAGAATCATGGGTAGCAGACACATTTGCCTAGTCTTCGTACTTGCGGGCAGCAAATCGTACTTGCGGCATCGTTTATTGCTGTGTTGCAGTTTTGTTTTGAGGGGACGATTCAACCCTTTTGAATTTCGTGGCCTGATTTGCAAAGGTATATCTAAAAAAATGAGGTGGTGAAGCACAATAGCTGAACATTTGCTGTTTTTGTTTCGTGAGAAAACGGCTCCAAGCCACACTAACACACAAGGAGCCAAAAGGAGGACACAAGTACGAAGATTAGACAAATGTGTATACAACCCATCATTTCCATGCTCGCTGAAGCACCGTGCGTTGCAGCTGCCATAGACACTAGAAGCAGAGTTCCCTCTAGTGTACATTTAAAAACTCTATGCACGGCAGGAACGGCGCCTGACGTGGCAACGCCGGCGTGACGCGACGAAATGAACGCCGGCGAGGACGCACACCGCGTTATGTCGAAATGTATTGGCACTTTGACGGTGGCATGTAGTCATGTTCTCATATGACACGCATCTCATGATTATTATGTTTGCACCAGTCACATACCTTCGTCATCCATTGGCGTCACGCAATACCAAATTTGGCATATGTGAAGCTAGCGAAATAGCAGCGAGCGCATCATGAGTACAGCATGTGGTCATGTTGTTACATGACACGCAAGTCGTGATTATCATGTTTGTATGTGTCATTTACATATGCCAGCCGTTCGTGTCACGTAATACCGAACTTGGTACATGTGAAGCTGGCAAAACGGCTCCGAGTGCATCATGAGTATACTTGTAATCATGTTGTTACATGACACGCATCTCATGTTTATCATGTTTGCGCCATTATCATACCTTCTTCATCCATTCACGTCCCGTAATACAAAATTTGGTATAAGGGAAGCAAGCGAAACGGCCACCAGCTCCGCATGAGCATGGCATGTAGTCATGTTGTTAGACGACACGCATCTAATGACTACCATGTTCGCACCAGTCACATACTTTCGCCATTCGTTCACGTACCGTAATACTAAAGTTGGTATATGCGACGCTAGCGGAACAGCCGCGAGCGCATCATGAGCGTGGTATGTAGTCGTGTTGTTACATGACACGCATGTCATCACTTTCATGTTAGTGTCTGTCGCTTGTGATAGCCATGCAATCTTACCATACCATTTTTGCAACATGTCATGGGAACGAAACCACCGCAAGAGCTGTAAGACCATGACACGTAAGCCATGACATTTATGACATCTATGTCATGATTTTCGTGTTATGACTAGTCACATATGTTCTTCATACAGTCATGTTATGCCATACCAAGTTTGGTTTCGGTAGCATCATCGAAACGGCCAGGAGAATTAAAAGTCATAGGCGGCCAGATAGATAGATAGATAGATAGATAGATAGATAGATAGATAGATAGATAGATAGATAGATAGATAGATAGATAGATAGATAGATAGATAGATAGATAGATAGATAGATAGATAGATAGATAGATAGATAGATAGATAGATAGATAGATAGATAGATAGATAGATAGATAGATAGATAGATAGATAGATAGATAGATACGTGCAAAGTCACCGAAGTTCGCTAAGAAATGCTTCGCATTTAAAACTTGGCATCTTAATCCTCAGATCTACCCACGGACCAGAGCAGTGGCAAGGGACCCTTAGCGACAGCGCCCCCAAGGTCTGTCGGGTGCTAGTTCTGCGGACCCGGGCTGTCGCTGAGGTTGCCATAGGTGTCCCGGAATAAGAAGCCTCTCCGATTTTTCTTTTTTTGAATTTGCATAATAAAACTGTTTTCATCATCATGACATTTGCGAGCTAGACATGCGTTTACAAGAACACCAAAACAGAGTTCAGTGAAACGGCCACAGAACAGATATAATGACGCGAAATACTTAAAATACATGACTCGCTCGAGAAAGCATGCTATAAAAGTTTACGTCAATACTGCCCCAGAAATTGGCAGAAAGAACGAATGTTATGCAAGGAATCCTCTGAACTATCTCTGGGTAATGCGCTTACATATTTAGCATACATAATTGCCGTTACTATATAGAGTGTGACAGAAATGCGCGAAAAAAATACTTCATCTGTCTTTCATATATTTTTTAAGCTATAATATCACCGTATGACATTTGACGTAAATATGAGCTCTCAAATACATGTTCAGGTTGTATGTCTCAAAGGGAGATGATTGCAGTACCGTATTCGCAGTGAATAATTAGACACGCGTACACTTGAGTTTGTTGGTGGTGAGGCAATCATAGACTAATATAAAGAAGCCATAATGAGGCCTACTGCTTTCAACCTTCCCTGTAATTTTCGAATTATCTCGTGCCCTATCCTGTTTAGTCGCACACTCTCAGCATAGGTTACCACGGACTAATCACAGCTAGCGTTACATTAGTGATGACACGTGTTGGCTAATGTTGGGAGATTTAGCTTGACATTGGCGAAGTTATCGCTTGTGTTGAATATAATGCCAATGCACTAATGGCTACAATATTGACCAATATAGCCCATCAAGTACTATGAGGCACATTCTGACCTTAACGACTACTTTACGTGTTTGTAGAATAAACCGTCTCTCAGCTACGTGTGACCTGCAGGGCGTTATTACGCAGTCCCTAGCACGACGTCAAAAGCTCCCTCGCTTCCACCGTACACGGACCAGAAGAGCTGCGTTGTTTGCACAGACCAGACTACGCTGATGTTGCCCGCTGGAGGCACGCAGATAACAGAAGCGCGCATACATTCCCGTG